CATCAGGCATCAGCTTAGCCCAAGGCGACACCGATACTCCTCCACAGGATTCGAATAGCACGGAGCCAATGTTCAACTTCCAAAGTCTTACAAAGGCGATCAACCCCGAAGACGACAATAAGAATGAGAACAAGCCTCAATATATCGAGGACGTGGGCGAGACGCATACCGAAGAGAAAGCCACGACTGCGAACGGCAAAGCGCCTGAAACTCCAACAGCCGCAGAGAGCCAGACCGCTGACCCGCTAGCTGAGAGCACAACGACGCTCAGGCCGAGTGAAGAGACACCAAAGACGCAGGACACCCACTCAAATGACGATGACGAAATCAGCCCCGCGCCGCCCATTCAACTCGTCTCAGACGACCACTCCCCCTCACACTTCGACCAGAAGCACCTCGGCGAAGTGAGCATGATGCACGAGCTGAACCACCAAGCCACGCAGTGAAACCCTTCTATCACAGCAACATGACCAATTTCCTTTGTCTCGATCTTCACATCAACATGCATTCGAATCGGTGTTTATCAAATCAATCAAACAAACGGCGCAAACGGGGGACAAGGGAGTTGAACAATCGCTACAGGATCTTAGTGTCTATTCTGTGTTTCGGTCATCTCTGGTTCCGTGGGTTCATCGGGCGCGTGGGAAGGTCTGTTACTTTTTTCTGGGATGAAATTGCTGGGGATCATGCGGATAGGCAAGCGAAAGCCTGTCTGTTGAGCTAGATGTCATGGAAAGAGAATGCATTTTATCACAAGATCATCTTGAGTGGAGTATGTTGAGCATGTACTGTGTGGGGTGAAACATGTAGTTTGATGGAATTGGGGTATTTATATCAAATATAAAGAACAAAGCAAAGCTCAACCTAACTCCTTGCACCACGACCTGCGCGTGCGGTTTCCCCTCGTTCCCTCCCAGCCCACAACATCTTTCCTGCTGTCCCATCGCCATGCTTCCTTCATTCACACCTCGGCTAACTAACGGCCTGTCAGAACCTAGCCTTTAAAGTAGTTATTACCCTAGTATGCAAGCCGTGAAGCACGAAACGTTGTCTGAGCTTAACAAATCCACAATTTCTAGAGCCTTCCAAAGCCCTAGGAATTGTGGATTTGTTAAATTCAGACATCGTGTCGTTTTTGCTGTGACGGATTCGTACATACTAGGGTAACAAGACTTTAATGGATGGGTCCTTGGGGCAGTTGTGTGTGTCGTTGCGATATGTGGTTGTGAGGCTGGGTCTGGAATGGGGCAGCGGTGGGTGGCCGGCTGTGAATGTGAGAGCTGTGTTTAGTTGTGTGGTTGTGTTGCGGTATTGTTGTGTTGGTGGCGTGAGGGCGCGATAACCGGGTTGAATGGGAGAAGATGAAGCCATGCGCCGTACTCCCATAATCCAATAAACGCCGTTGGTATCATGCCATGCCATAGTATCATCTTCGTGTCGTGAAAGTCGTTATGTCGTGAATGCCCTCTTGCATCCCTGGTCTCTCTCGAATCATTCGTGAAAGAAATTCTGCGCAAATGGCATCGTTCGCGTCGTTGGTATTGCGATGGGCAGAGGTGTGCCCTCCATGGCCGTCATCTTAGTAGACCAACGCTGTGATATCCCTCACGCTCAGATGCTGCAACGCGGCACTACTCTGGCCTCCTAACCTCGTGAAATAGAGCGAGGCTAGATCCATGGTGGTGCGTAGCATAGCTGTGGGCTTGCCAGGGTGGTAGAGGTCGAGGAGGGTGAGGGCCCAGCAGGCGATTTGGATGATGAGTAGGGACGCTATGCAGAGGCGGAAGGAGGAATCCTTGCCCATTGTGTGTGTGTGGGTTGTTTTGTGGTTTTGTGAGGTGTCGTAGTGGAGTGTTGGTGATTTCCGTAGTGGCGGGATGGAGTAAGTGGTGGAATGCGGGGTTCCCAATTTCTTTGTTGTGTATATTCGTGACGGCCGTTCGTTTCGTGATCGTTTATTATCGTGAAGCTCGGATGCTCAATCTTCCCGCCAAAATAACAAAGCGAAGAAAATGAAGGGAATCAAATGCGAAGAAAAGCTAAATGTGTGATTTCTGACAATGCGATATTGAAGCCTGTCTTAAGTGTAGCGAACGATGGAGGAAAAAATAAACGAGGCTGGGTCCCTGCTGCTGTTTATTGTTGATCTGTTGACGGCGGGCGGAAAAAGAGTCGGTGTGGTGAGTTGGCATACCGCGTGCATACATGCCAAACCCACTAGGTTAAGATACCCCAATCTTAGTCTAGGACAAAATGAAATTGTGGAAAGACCTCGACGATAATGTCAACAAAGAGGAAGAAGAAGCGACAAAAGTGGTCTGTCCATCACGTCTTCCCACATCGTCACGCGTCGCGCGTTCACGCCACCACTCTCCCTGTCCAAACTTCCAAGTCAATGGCAGCAACAGCAGGAGACCGTGTCGTGAAAATCGTCCGTGAATGTCGGTGTGTTGCCGTGCGTGATCTGCTCGGTTGAAGATAGCTCACTTCCTTCCCATCGGGCCTCCTGTCAACATGCAAGAACCCCACAGAAACTAGTCCTCGCGTGGATTAGACTGAGAGGAGACAGGTGCATGTGAGCCGTCCGCAGCCTCGCTGGCAACAATACGCGTGGGGCTCTAAGACCCTTTGCGCAAGGTTGTGCGCGGGCTGCGGGTGTTTATCCGGGTCGCGAGGGATGGTTGGGTGTGGGTTGGTGGTTGGTGTGTAGGTGGTAGGTGTTGAGGGTTTGTGGGCGGAGCGGGCGTTTGTAGGCGCGCGTGTGTGCAGTATCTTTTTTCTTTGCTGGGGTCCTCGGATTGATTTGCGGAACTTGCGGACTTTCACATGCGAAGATCGTGCAGGGCGTTAGGTAGTCGTGCATCGCACTTGGAGAAATGCGCCTCTCCCGCCTTTCGATTCTTTTTCTGGACGTCATCTTTGCTGTTGGAACACCTTCGTTGTTGCCTTGGCGGCGTGGTTGTCCGGCCGCGTAAGTAGTGCGGTCCTACCTGCACCATCGTGCCATCAACATCGGCATGCGAGGTGATGTAGCCAGGTAACATTCTACCGAACCGTCGCCGTCGTAACACACAATCTACGGACAAAGAGGAGGTCAAGCCTTAACAAGGCATACTGAAGGAACAACAAGAATCAACGACAATAGCGAATCGCATACCAGCACCGAGTTCGGTAAACAACCCATCACATCACACATGCCCCGCGGCAGCTATTTACAGTACAGGCAAACGATACGGATATTACATGCGAAGCTTTCTGCAAGGAACCGTGCTGGAGGCTTAGATGAATGACACAAGCGACACCATCATTCCCACTATCCGCGTCTGTCGTATCCGCGCGCTTGGTCGCCGAGGATACCTAGCAGAGTGAACCTGAGTTCATGCCATGACGACGACGACGACGACGACGCAGTCTATACCCCTTCCTTCATTCATTGTAGTCCTGGCATCTGCTTCCGGACGAAGCATATTCGCGGTTGTGTAACCGATCGGACCTCAGTTCGAGGCACCTGCAATAGAGAGCCCGATGCGTCTGCAGTAGAGAGTGCCGCGCGTCTTGAACCCTCCTGCCCTTCGTCAAGGCGGTATCTCATCGTATGAGTAGATGTGTAGACGTGAAGGCTTACGAATGATCTCACGGGGCGTAAGTGATGGTGATAGCGCCCGGTCCCAAACTGACGGTCCGTTGTCCCAAAGCGGCAATAGGGAAGTGCTAATCTAGGTCGCGATGATGTGGTTTGGTGGAGGAGATGGATGCGAAAGTAAGTGCCTTGCGGAGAGCCTTGGACGTAAGTGTCATGCTGTGCGATGCTCTTCCGTCTACGCACGACCAGGCAGATGTATTTGGATGGTGTTGAGTCGGGGCGGAGTGAAGGGCGAGATGTATATGAGAGAGTGAGTGTTCGGGGTGAAGATGCAATGCCAGAGCGGACGACAACGAGTTTGAAGTGAAGGAGTAACAGATAGCAGAGGTGAGTGAAAAAACAAGGTTCTCAATTCTTCTCATCATCAAACTAGTGACTTCCAGATGAGGTGAGACCCTATCGTGGTTTACCTTGTTTGATTAGCGCTGGTTTGGCTGGTACAACTCTACACTGTACTTGTTTGCGCATCGCACGGGTGCTACCCCCAAGCCAAGCCTATACATCAACTTGGTTATACGGTCTCACAAGTATCTCCTTCTTCCGTGTTGTGTCTGACCATCGCGCAGTCATCTTATGTCGACAGCAGACATTGCAATTGAACTACAGCCTTTCCGTACAGACATGGCTCGCGGAGATACTACTACACGAACATATCGCGATGATGAAAATGATGCGGCCAGTCAAATGTCTAGTCCGATGAGTCTGGAGGAGCTAGAGCTTCAGCGGCAAGTACATCGACGTACTGCATCGCAGCACTGGTGGAAGAGATTGAACTGGTGCGGGTTGTTATCGCGTCGACCTGGTGAAACCGAAGCCCACCGAAAGCAACGGAGAAGACGTTGTGTTCTTTGGTTCGGGATTATTGCTGTTATCTTGACCATCTTCGGTGCTATCGCTGGAGGGTAAGGAGATCCGATCAAGGTGCGAAGTGAGACTAACATACATCAGTGTTTATATCACCTTTGTCTCCATACTGGTGAAGCGACTCGCCCCTTCCCCCAAGAACAGTGGCCTTCAGCACATCGTCGATACCTGGCAAGAGCCGCAAGCAGCTAAGGCATTCCATTTCGACTGGAGAGATGACTTCAGCCGTGACATCGTACCCAAGAGCTGCCACTCCCACAATGATTACTGGCGCTCTGTTCCCCTCTATGCTGCCCTCGCGGCGGGATGTACTAGTATTGAAGCAGACATCTGGTTGACAGAAGATGGCGAACTGCGAGTCAGTCATTCCTGGGAGTCTACGACCAGCGACCGAACGCTGAAAAGCTTATACATCGACCCACTTCTGAACATCCTCGAACGGCGAAACGCAACAAGAGCCTCAGTGCCAGACAAAAAGACCGGCGTCTTCGACATGGACCCAAGCGCAACAACCGTCCTACTCATCGACTTCAAATCCGACCCGGCAGCAACATGGCCGGTTCTTCTCTCGCAACTCGCTGCTCTCCGATCCAAAGATTGGTTAACATACCACGACGGCTCGACGCTCCACACAGGCCCCCTTACCATTGTCGGCACGGGAAACGCCCCCTACGACCTCATTCAGTCCATGACAAACCGGTACATCTTTTTCGACGCACCACTGCTCTCTATCTCAGATGCGAAGTACAACACTACAAACTCTTATTACGCATCCGCCGCCCTCAGCGACGCAGTAGGCAAGCTCTGGTTCGCAAGCATGTCGTCAAAACAGGTTGACACGGTCAAACAGCAAGTCGATGCAGCGACAGCAAAAGGATTGAAGAGTCGGTACTGGGGCACTCCGAACTGGCCGATTGGGAAGAGGGATGAGATTTGGGAGACGTTGATGGGGCTGGGGGTTGGGGTGCTGAATGTCGATGATTTGGTCAGTGCGACGATGTGGAATTGGGGCCTTTGTGTTGTGGCTGGTATTGCACTATGTGGGAATAGTTAGATAGACTCTCGTTGTGGGACCACTTGAATCATTGATGCGACTCATAAATGGGTCCGTGTATAGTTTGGAGATCTTTGAAGAGCACCCGGGATGTTTGTGCAATGTTGTGTTCAGTGCTGTTATGGTGATCAGCACAACGTCATGGCCATGTTGATCGATGGCTGAAACTCGTCGATGTCGCACCCGCAACATCGACGTCATCGTGAAGGTGCCCTTCGTCGTATCGATCGTGAGTGTAAACACAAACTCTGGAGCCCTAACATCTTAGCATCAGCGACGGTTCTGTTTGGACCCTGGCTGTGGGGACATCTAGTGGTTGATCATAAGAAGCTTCGCCTCGGATCCGCAACAGCTAAGAATAGCCCCATTCCGTCTCGCGTTTGCCGGACAGCTGTCAGTATCGCAGCAGACACGCTGGTACAAATGCCATCATCATCGTCGACTCCTGAGAAGAAAGGCTCATTTCACCGCCACAGGGTTCGCAGCCATTCAACGGCCAATTGTACCTGACTTGTGTGATACGTGTGGCTGAAACATTGCTGGGCAGGCACGATGCAAGCCTCAACAGGGGGGAATGGATTACGTGGACAGTTTCTCGATTTGGGGTATCTCCACCAGGATTCTCGGAAATAGGCGAGCTGTGGACCTATGGTAGACATGCGACATCGTCTTTGGGGTTTCCGCGGCCTGGCCGCCCTGCAACAAAGGGATTAGTTGCTTTTTCGTCGGCTGAACTCTGGACGGTGTAATCCGAATGTTCGGCCGGCGATGGTGAACTCGATCGCGATTGTACGAGCTGGACACAATTTTCCTCTCTGTTGGGCGTATCGATACGCGTGTACCTGCATCTGCACCGGGTATTTTGGCCAGAACCAACGAGAACCGATCAACGGCAGGGATGGCCGATCGGGTGAATCATGCTCATCGCTGCATGAGGCTCAACCAAAACCACATCCTCACCAACGACGATACACAAGTCGCTGCTCAACGGCCTGTCCGATGTGTGCAGAAGGACGGTAATTAGAGCATGGCCAGGCAGTTTTATGTGCAGCCAGCGGTGACGATATTTCCCCTCGGTGATTCGTTGTGGCGAGTAGCTAGCGGTTTCAGTGGCATGTGGCTTTTCCCGCTACCCCCTCCCTGCATACAGCTAGCATGGTCTGGGGACCGGCGCGCGGCGTTGTTCGTCAAAGTAACTCCTTGCGCTGCTACTTTTCTTCACTCGCTCTCCCACCCTGCCCTTTCTGCTATTGTGTCTCGAGAGCCTCTTCGCTCGTTCCTCTATCTCATTGTTTCCTTACCTTGCACAGAGAACCGACGGCAGGCCTTCGTTCAATCGCTGTCGTTACACGTCTCTATTGTACTACTCGTTCAAACGGCTCTCAAAAAGGAAGTGCTCGACGCACACTCTTCCGCCAGCTTCGTTTTGGCAAAACACTCCGGGATCTGCATTCCCTTTCACAATACCCACAATACCCCGCCTGCGCGTTCGCAGTGACGAATCGGCACCCACGAACAACTACTAGATTTCCTTTACATGACAAGCAAACGAGCCTCCTCTCAGAGGTCCTTTCGACTCTCCAACCACGGTTTCCAGCCTCTGGACAACGGAAACATGGAGAACCGCGGCGATATCCCCCTCCAGACTGTCGTCAGCCACACCCCCACGCAATCGTCGCCTACGTCCGGCAATGAGAAGTCGGAGAAGTCACACATGTTCTCGCGGGGACGCAGGAAGGTCGCTCTGGCGCCAGTGGACTCCAGGACAGGAGCGCCGTTGCCTCCCCGCCCTCATGAAGAGAAGACGGCCCTCAACCGCATGGGCAGGATCTACACCAAGATCCTGAACTGGAGCATTGTCACGCGCTACATGATCTACGTTGCCCCAGTCGCGCTGCTACTCGCCATTCCCATCATTCTCTCGCAAACCGGCACAATCACAGGATCAATCGGCGGCACAGGCCAGAAGAAGTTCTGGATCTGGATCGAGATCATCTGGCTTAGTTTCTGGGTTATGAAGATTGTGGCCCACTTCCTCCCCAACATCTTCGAATTTCTCATCGGTGTGGTCAGCCCTGGTGTCAAGAAATATGCGCTGCTTTTGAGAGCTCTCGAGAAGCCTCTGTCTTTCGTTTTCTGGATGATTGTTAACCAGGCTACATTCCCTGCAGTAAGTCAGAACAAGCTCCTAAGACGACTAGTCACTAATATTGAGTAGCTTATTAGACCTGTTGCCGGCAGAACTGGCGAGAACTACCCAGGATGGATCGGCACGATGCAGTCCGTCTTGCTTGCGCTCCTCGTCTGCACCATCATAATCCTCGCCGAACGCGTCCTGATCCAGCTCATCAGTATCAGCTACCACCGCAAGCAGTTTGATGACAAGATCAAGGAGTCGAAGCGCAACATCTACCTCCTCGGTATCCTCTACGACACTTCGCGAGCGCTTTTCCCCGCCTACTGCAACGAGTTCGCAGAGGAGGATTACATCATCCAGGACACAATTCTGGATCTCGGTTTTGGCAGCAAGGGCAAGGGTACTGCTAAGCATGGTCGCTCAGGCAGTCGCACTCCCATGCGTCTCATCCAAGAAGTTGGCCGCGATGCTGGTCGCATTGGTGATAAGATCACATCCGTCTTTGGTACCATCGCTTCTGAGATTACCGGCAAGAAGGTCTTCGACCCCAACTCTGCTCACTCCGTTGTCTTGACTGCTTTGGAGAGGAACAAGAGTGCCGAAGCTCTGGCTAGGCGTATCTGGATGTCTATGGTCGTCGAAGGGAAGAACGAGCTGTACCTGGAGGATCTTGTCGAGGTCATGGGCCCTGGTCGCCAGGAAGAGGCGGAAGAGTGCTTCGCTGCAATCGACCGCGACGGAAATGGCGACATCAGTTTGGAAGAGATGATCTTGACTGTGACTGACTACGCCAGACAGCGCAAGTCTATCAACTCCAGTATGCACGATGTCGACCAAGCTATCAACGCCCTCGACGGTCTTATCATGACCATCGCTGTCATTGTCTGCATCTTCGTCTTCGTCGCTTTTCTCGCCCCGGCTTTCCGCACCACTCTCGCTACATCCGCGACCGCTCTCCTATCGCTTTCTTTCGTATTCGCGACGACCGCCCAGGAAGTCCTCGGTTCCTGCATCTTCCTCTTCGTCAAGCACCCGTACGATATCGGCGACCGTGTCGACATCACCACCGAACAGCTCACTGTAGAACACATTGCCCTGCTCTACACAGTTTTCAAGCGCGTCACCAACGGAAAGACTGTCCAGATACCCAACATTGTCCTGAACTCGCTGTGGGTGGAGAACATCACACGAAGCAAGGCCATGCGAGAACAAGTTTCGGTGTTCTGCGACTTCGGCACCTCATTCGAGGACATCAATCTGCTCAAGATGGAAATGATGAGCTTCGTTCGCGATCCGGCTAACGCCCGCGAGTTCCACTCTGATATCGACATCGAGGTTGTCAGCATCGCTGAGATGAACAAGCTAGAGCTCCGTGTGGAGATTCGCCACAAGAGCAACTGGTCCAACGAGTCTCTCCGCGCGTCTCGACGATCCAAGTTCATGTGCGCGCTCGTCGTCGCTTTGCGCAAGGTTCCGATCAACGGTCCGGCTGGAGGTGACGCTGCTTTGGGTTCGCAAGACAAGCCCACATGGTCCGTCGCAGTACCACCCGCCGAGGCTGTCGCAGCCTACGAGAAATACAAGGCCAGCGCCGATGCCGGCCGTCTGCGCCCACTCAACCCTAAGGAGGAAGACACCGGTAGGACTTCTGGCACTGATTACTTGGGCGTCGGAACCGAAGGCAACGCGATCACCGCGCTCAACAACAGGAAGCCTGGCCTAGACACCATCCGCGACGATACCTGGGAGGCTCGCGGCGACGACTCCAGCACTATTGGCCGTCCCAGCACAGACCAAAGGCCTGACCTAGACGAAGTCCGCGGTCTCCTCCGCAAGGCCAGTTCCGCCGGAAAGCGAAAGGGCGGAACCACACTCTCGCCATTCGGCTCGCGCGTATCCGTCGATACACCCCGCCAAAACCCGCCTCCACCTCTCCCACTCCACGTAGTACCCTCCGGCGGGCAAAGCACATATGCGCCTCCGCCTGGCGGTCCCCTGCCACCACCATCCATGCCCCGCAGCACTGCGCCCGGATCGCCTAGCTCTATCTCCACGGGCCAGGTAGAAGAGTACTCATACCAGACTATGGTACCGCCGCCCCGCTCACGCAGCCGACCGCGCGCACCGCAAGTAGAAGAAGACGAGGGCGAGAGGCGATGGGATATGAATGCAAATGCGCCACAACGCGCCCCGTCGAATAATAACCCGTATAGGAGTCCGGGGTCGCCGCAGCAGGGCGGGTTTCAGCAGCAGTTTAAGAGGGAGTAGAACTCTCGTATAAGCTAGGGTGTCGAGCATGAAGTTTGAAAATTCGTGTAATGTCTTTTTCTTTATATCTATTTAGATGGAAATCTTAGCATGGCATTGGTGATGGTGGTGGTGTCTTGAAGACGCGAACCTCACTGTGGCGTTTTATATTGCTTGGTAGTGTTTGGGCTCATGAGATGGGCTGTATATCAATCACTACATTTTACTACATTTTACTACTTCATCTTATCTGACGTCTCGCAACAGTTCGTTTGTCATATGAGTAACTATCGCCGGGCGAGCCTGCGGAGCTCTAGAGTTGCGCACGTGAGTTGGCACTGGCTCTACGGGTATATAAACCCCTCCTCTGTCTTCTGGATTTGACTTCTTTATTCCACACTTCTTCCTCTTTATTCCAAAAGAAACTGGCAAACCAATTCATG